CCCAGGACCAGATCCCCCTCCAGGGTCAGCACCTTCTTGGTGGGGCCCTCAGCCACAGCGCCCCAAAGCAGCAGCAGTGCCAGAAGCCCAAGCAGTGATCCCATAGTCCCAAAGGGGATGGATGTGTCCAGCAGACCTGGGCCTCCAGGGGATGAGGGTAGAAGCAGCAAAGGCAAAGAAAGGAGGAAACAGGGACCAGGAAAGGACAGGCAGGAAGAGAATTAAGAAGGGGCCCAGCTCCTGCAGAGAAAGAGACAGACAAACAGGGAGAAGTGGAACCCGAAGAGTAGCTACCTTTCTGACTCTGCCTTCCCCAATTCCCTTCCCTTGGAACTTTTTTCTAGGGATCCAGGGATACATAGTATCACAAACTAGGCTGAGAAGCTCACAGACACCCCTTGGCCTGTTTCTCAGCTTTGCCCTGATCTGGGTCTATAGATAGGCTCTGTGTCCATTGCATACTCAGCATAAAGGGAGGGAGGCAGAGAGTAGAGGACTAGACAGAAGTCAGGAGACCCCAACCAACACCAATCCTGTTATGAATGAAAGAATTCCCAAGACCTTGCACAAACTTCCCAGGACTCCTAAGTCTATGCCTTTGCAGCAGGGGCCAGGGTAGAGTATAAACTTAGGGGTCTAGTCCCTATCCTGAGCCTTGCATTTCCAGAGATGGGCCACTGTGGCTGAAACCCACCAGGGAAGAGGGAAGGAAAAGTCTCCAAAGGGTAGTTTCCAACTCCTAGAGGGACCCAAGCCCAGGTAAGCACCCAAGGGTCCTAGCCCCTAGTTCTTAAAAATCCATAGAGCCGGGGCGCCTGGGTGGCTCTGCCTTTGGCTCAGGTCATGATCTCAGGGTCCTGGGATCAAGCCCCACTTCGGGTTCTCTGCTCAGCAGGGAGCCTGCTTCCTCCTCTCTCTCTCTCTGCCTGAGTCTCTGCCTACTTGTGATCTCTGTCTGTCAAATAAATAAATAAAATCTTTAACAACAACAACAAAAAATCCATAGAGCCCCCTGTGGAAGTAATAGAGACTCTAGGCTGTGGGAATTTGACAGCAAGGTGGAGAGGTTGGCCCCAGGGAGGGACACTGAAGTGGCCATAGATCTTAGATCATAGATCAATAGGGAAAGCAGATCAGATGTGAGCATACATGTGCCCAGGGACAGGGGCAGTTCATATGGTCAGAATTTGAAAAACAGTGCTCAAGGTGAGACTTTTGGACACCTTAGCTCTGCATAGAATGCTGTTTGAGACTTTATGCCCCTGTGTTTTCTTCAGCTCAGATCCAAGCAGAGAAAGTCACCATCTCTAATCTCCCTATCCTCATCCTCTCCCCATCCTGTCCACCCTGGCCCTAGCCCTCAGGGACTCCTCCTTCCCTCTTCCATTCTCCGCTTTGTTTGTATCTCAGCTATGCTCCCAGATGCCAACCCACATAGGCTCTCACAATCATGTAGGCTTGGGAAGGCTAGGAGAAGGAAACTGAGGCTGAAGAAGGCCTCTTCTTCTGAAGATGGCCACTAGTTCAAGGACCCCGTGTCCTGGCCACAGAGACTGGGATTCTGCACTTTGCCCCTCAGCAACTCAGGGTTAATCTTCCCCCTCATGCCATGGCAGGGAGACTTGGATCCTGCGGGTACCCAGAAAGAAGCAGCTCAACCAGGCAACCAGGAGAGAGAGGCAAGCATGAAGACCAGGACAGATGGGGAAGGGACCCAGATGGGGGCTGAGGCCCAAACTGGTCAAGACCACAAGTCTCCCACAGGGGCAGCCAGGACCAAAATCCGGACAGGGACAATACCCTGAAGGGAGACGGAACCCCAGAGGGGAGCAGCCAGGGGGCCTGGGCAATGAAATCCGGGCAGGGAGTGATTGAACCCCAGAGGCTGACACAAAGACAGAGGCACAGAAAGACAGACCAAAGGATGAAAGGAGAGGAGGAACGAAAGAACGTGATGCAGGGTGTGCGTTCTCTGGGGAAGAAAGGCAGGATGCCTGGGGCGGTCTTCCCGCTTCCAGGAGCTCCCGGCAGCACTGTCTGGACGCCCCGACCCGGGAGCCCCAGAACTCGAGGGCCCCGCGGGTCTCCGGGACATGGGGTCAGGATCGATAAGGTTGGCTACGGCCGCGGCACCACGGGCTTACCCTACCTGGCGTGCCCGACTCCGGCGCGGAGAAACGGAGAGGAGCCGGGGGCGCAGGGTTCCAGCTCTCGCTCGCTGGCTTGCTCCCTCGCTCGGCAGCTCTGCGCTCTCCGCCCGCCCGCTCGCCCGGCCGCTTTCAATCGCGGCCCGCCCCGCCCCTGGCCCCGGCCCGCCCCCAGCCCCTCCCCCGTTCCTCCCCACTCTGGATCTCCCGCTCCCAACCCGGCCTCCGCCTCCCTCCAGACTCCTGCACCGCTCCTTGCCCTGTGCCTCCGGCTCCTGGTTCTTCGCGGGGCTTCCGTCCCGGAGCTGTCCACCGCGTGGTGCTGAATCCTCGGGCGCTCCCGCTCTGCGCCGGAGCAGGTGCCTATCAGCCCCCTCTACCCCTCGGCCAGAATGCATGCAGCCCACAGAGCAGCGGGCACGGGACACGGGGCTACAAAGGTCACTGAGCCCCAGGAGGTGCACGCAGTGTTATGGGGTCCCATCTTTGAGAGCAGAGGGGCTAGCCTTAGGGTTGCAAGGTGCCATTGGGAGATAGGGAAGGGGGCATGTGGGAGATAGGTAGCTTAGCCTGCTGCGACAAGTCTGCCCCTGTCCTCACATCCATTCTCTCAATCCACAGACTGCAGCTCAGTCCACATGCCAGGCTTGGGGTGGGGGCATGTGTCTTTGGCCCCATGTGAGAGCGGGGCCTGAGTCACTAGGAGGAAGAGATGGGGGGTGGGTGGTCAGAGGATGGGGCCTCCTCTTCCTGCAGATGACCTTTAAAGCTGCTACCCAACCATCCCCCCCACACACACACACCCAGCCCTGACCTCCTCTCCCACCAACCTCACTAATCCTCACCCTCACATACAAAGGGCATTTATGGCTAAGATATATCAACCTGGAGAGTATGGGGGATGCTGCAGGGCCAGAGACTAGGGTCAACCCTAAGGGACATGCTGGGGCTGGCAGGGGGATCTGGGAGGGCAGGGGGGTGGAGAAGAGGCTCCTGAAACTAGCTGCTGCGTAGGAGGGAATGGGAGCTGGAGCCCAAGCAGAGGGAGGACAGCTCTGAGAAGATGCTCTTGACTCTTCTTCCCTCCTGCAGCAGAATGGAGGACGCCCCGGGTAGAAGATGGTGGATACACTGCAGCATCTGCTTGTGCTGAAGGGTCTGGAGAGGGGCCTGCACCTGGGTTTAGCCCCAGAGCCTGCACACACACTAGGTGCCAAGGCGCACAACATCCCCGCATATGCTCCCAGGCGCTGCCCTTTCTTCCACAGGTGTCACTAGAGGCAAAGCTAGCGCAGACACATGCTAATGAGCACATGCCAAGCCCAGGTCCCTCTGGCACATACATCTAATATGCGTGTCGCAGTTAGGGGGGAAGGGTATTACCAAGGAAGGACAGGCTTTGTCCCTGGACACAGAAACCTGATGCCCCACTGCACTGGGAAAAGCACAGCTGTGAAACACCAAACCCAAACAAACCCAAACCCCACTGCTAATGGGAGGTGAGGTGACAGCAGGATGAGGGTTCAGGGTTGTCAGACAAGGCTGGAGACACAGATACACTGTCTTCCAGCTCTGGCTAGTTCAAAGCAACTGCTACCTGGTGTCGGTGAGTGAGGAGCTGGGCCCTTGGAACAGAGGGGCTGGTAGCAGCAGGGTGCTGAGGGAAGAGGAGCCACACAGCAACCCCAGCCCTCTCACTGAGGTGGCCTCACAGAAGACCTCAGGGCTTTGGACCAGCACCAGTTCTGGAGGCGCACTCTGCAGCCCACGGTGAGGGGCTAAGCAGCCCTGTTGCAGCACCCGGACCTGCCCCCAGCCATGCGGCCACGACTTCCAACTGTGTGCACAAAGACACCCAGCCTTACAGAGCTGTGCATACGCACACGGCCGCACACACAGAAGCACATGCAACCTCACACATAGCTGTGCACACAGACGCAGCAATAACACATAAATTTCCATGCAGACACACAACTGTATTCATGGACACACAGTCCCATACACAGAGCCATACATACGGACATGTCTACACACAGATAGTTAAACTCACACACACGGCTGAACTGACCTACCGCTTTACATGTGGACACACGGAAAAGCACACGGCCTTACACATGAACACAGAGCGGTACAGCTGTACACAGACACATAGCTACACACAGATAGCTGCGTATGGACAAAGCCCCCAGAGTGACGCTCCTGACCAGCCAGTCTCGCAGCCCTGGTAGCAGTGGCCCATACAGTTAGCACCATTCCGGGCACATCATCACGTAGCCGTCCACAGGAACGCAGCCATACCCAGCCCCAACCACATCCTAATGCCTGCTGGGGCACAGCTTGCCAGGGCCACCGCAAGCAGACACAGCCATGGTTACACACACAGAACCAAAGGCCCATGTGCACGTATGTGCATGTATTCACACAGGTACAGACATGGGCAGGCACAGCGGGGATGGCCTCACCTGCTGAGCAGACACCAGCATGAGTGCAGGCACACTCAAGCTACAGACACTAAGGCATCCCTTGGAAGCAAAGGCAGGCTCTGTGAGCTCCCCACTCCCAAGCCCTGAAGGGCACCCCATGCTTGGTTCTCATTCCCCCTGACCTGCTCTGCCTGTTTCCCAGCAGCCTGGGGGAGCCTCTGGGGCTGCTGCAATGAAGGAACAGCTGTAACCCAGGGCCACAGAGCTGGGAGTGGGGGGCCTTCAATACCCCTTTCCTCCTCTCAGCCCAGAGTCCCTTGCCATACTTCCTCCTCTCCTCGGGCTGGGGTGCTCCTGCCCACTCCGTCTATCTGCACAGGGCTCCTCGAGGTGAACACAAACACACACACACACAAATGCACAGCCCAGGTCCAGGGGAAACGAGAAAACCATCCGCTTTATTCTGAGTCCTGGAAGCTCCAAAGTGAATCTGAAAAAACACGTCAGAGGGGCAGGAGCCCCGGGGTCTGGGTGCAGAACACAGTCCTTGGCTCCTTTAGCCCTGGGAGCCGAGAGGCCGGTAAGAAGGCTTAGCGAGAGCCTGGGGCAGTGGAAATCAGGTCCCCCCTGGGACCCCTGGCCCCAGCCTGGGCCTGAGAGGTGAAGGAGGAAGAGGGCTGGAGAGTCTGCTCAGTTCCTTAGCAAATGCACCCCAGGAGGATGCGGGCCTAGGGTTACTCCTCACCCTTCTCGGGAGTACTAGGTTCCCGTGGCCACTTGGAAGTCCCCAGGGGCTCAGCTTCAGGGCTCAGCCTTGGCTCCCCCAGGGGTCCCTCGCCTTCCAGGTCCAGCTCCTCAAAGGATGAGCCACTGGCGCCTGATTCGCTATAGCTGTGCTCACTGCGGGTGTCACCGTCGTCCCAGCCACGGCTGCTCACCCCAGGGGACAGTGTGGCAGCTGAAGTCTCCCGGCTGCCAGGACCCACCTCCAGGCTCACAGAACTCGTGTCACTCATCGTATCAGCTCCTGGGCCAGGAAAAGGGAGCACATGTTAGCTAGGACCCCCATCCCATCCTCCAGGGAGAGGACAGACAACCTCCACTTGCTCGGGAACCAGCATGCACAGTGTGCTCATGAGTAATAAAGTGGGCCCTACCTCAAGAGGCTCATTCCAGCTGCCCTCTGCCCTCTGCCCTGGCCAGAGCTGCACTGACAGGGCAAAGGGAGGGATGGAGGGAGAGAGGACAGCATTCTGTGCACTCCTCTCCCTCCCCTTGAATTAGCCTCACAACTCCCTGCGCTCCCACAAAGCCTGCTGCCCCCCCACCCCCCAAGAGTCCATTAAGGACCACTCAGCCCTGAGGTGGAGAGCTAAGGGTAGAACAAAGAGATTCAAGTAATGTCCCCTCCTCCACATCCCATTTCAGGCTTGGAGAAAGGTTTGTCCAAGGCCAGTGTGCCCATAAGGCATGAGGATGGGAGAATGGACCAGAAGGCCTACTCTCTTGTCCCCTCCCCCATGCAGAGCTCCCCAGGGAACAGCCACATCCAGGAAGGCAGCTGGCCTCAGCCTCTGGCCCCACTGAGCCCTAGTTTGAGGCGGCAGCTAGGGCATAGAGAAGTGGGATAGAGAAGTCTGGAGAAACCAGTTGCAAGGAAGGAGGATACTAGGATAAAGCATTTTAAGGGCTTTCTTCCCCTATGGCTGGGCCACCCGAGGGGAGCCCTTAATTATCCCCAACCATTACTGCTGGTTCCTGAGCCACAAAGCAACAGAAGGGGACCATGAGCACTGTGCTGGCAGCTGGAGAACCCTGAGACAGGGCTGAGGGTCTAGATCCCTCCCAGTATGTTCCTCCCACCCCTAACACATCCTCCAGGCAAGTAGACACTTCATTTGCCCTGTTCAGGAGCAACCCCTCAACTCACCTCCCCAGATCAGAAGTACTAACAACAGTTGGGGGAGTGGGGTAGGGAGAGGAAGGGACAAAGAGCTCAGGCCCACTGTGTAGGAATCCAGATTGAGAGAAGGCTGATGTGCACCCCCTTCTGTGTGAGAGGGAGAGGGGCAGCTGTCAAACATCACAGAGGTGAGGGGTGGGCCAATTTCCCCAGATCCTGTCTCCATGGTGATGCAACCCTGAGCCAGGAGCAGCTGGGAACTGCTTGCTTTTGGACTTGGCCTGGAACTTCCACTGTGCCTCAGATGGGGACTAAAATAAGGGTGGGGGGTTTTGGGGGTCTGCTCCTTCAGTTCCCTTGGCCCTAAGAAGATATCCCTTGGGCCTACTGGCAGAGGTGAGGTAGGCTCTGGAAGTGCTAGCCTACTGGCCCAGGGCCCTCTTCTTGCTGGGGCCCTAGTCATGGTTCCCAGAATAGAGGCATCCAAAAATGAGCTTGGGCTATATCCTGAGTTATGGGTGGTTCCTTCTGACTTTAGGGCATGACTCCAGCCCCTTATTCACTCCTTCAGTGGGGATAATCAGTGCTCCAGAGGCTGCAGGCCTGAAAGAAGCAAATGAAATGGGGATCCCAGGCCCCATTAAACTGTCATGTTCCACCAGCCCACCTACCCAATGGCTCTCTTGGGACCTGGATATGGGAACGTGCTGCTTGCCAGGAGGCTGACTCCTCCCTGTCCCAGCTTCTGGGCTAGGAACAGTCAGAGGATGGAGCCCAGGGATGGCCCTTCAGGTTGGGGCCCAGGATGCTCAGATGAGGCCAGCCCATGGGGGGGATATGTGGACACCTCTGGCAAATGAGTCCAAGGCAAGGAAGTGGCATCCCTCCAGCCCCACCATGGTCTGCACCAGAAGAACTTCCAGAGTCTTGGGCCCCTGTCCCAGGACAGAAAAGGCCAGGCAAGGAAGGGCAGAACCTAAGTCTTTAGGGCTGCCAGGGCAGAGAATGAAGCTGCCACCTTCACCCCAGTCCCTCCCTCCTCCACTGCCCACAGCCAGTGCAAGAGATCAAATATTCATTGCCTCTCTGGAGCTAAATAATACATCAATGTAATAACAGGCATAAGGCTGCTAATCACCCCCTTTCACCTCCTAGCCCAAGCGGGGGCCCCAGTGGGGAGGCAGTCAGGGGCACGCCAAGCTCTGGGCAGCCAGGCACCCAGCACACATTGCTGTGCAAATGGCATGCACCTGGCAGGCACATACTCAGAGTCCGCCCTGGGTGTCAGGGCAGATTCTGTCAGAGGTGGGCCGACTCCACGACCCCCCTGCCCAGCAGGGAGTGGGTGGGCAGGCTAGTGAGGAAGACAGGCCAAGGCACTGGGGGTGTGGGAGCCACGCTGCAGCCAGCTGTAGTGGGTGCCAAGCAGTTCTTCAATACCCCTGGCAGGCAGTGTTTGGGAGAAAGCTGGGTGGGTGGGCTGAGGACGGGAGTGTAGACAGCAGAGGGAGGTCGAAAGAAGGTCAAGACACTCCGCCTTCCTGCCCTAGAGACTGCCTGGGCCTGCTGACCTTGTGCCATGTCTTGTGCTCACAGTAGGCGCACTGAAGAATGTCTGCCGGGCATTACCAGGCGGGTGGGAACAGTGCCCCACGGAGGTAATTAAACAGATGAAGTTAACTGTGTTGGACACGGCCTCTAGGGAGTGGTGACTGCCTCTCAGTACCCTTACCCCCCGCCACAACATATGCCTTTCTAGGATGACCTTGGTTATTGAAGATTGGCTAGACAGAGGAAGTCTCCCAAAGAAGGAGGGATAGCCGCTCTCCTCCCAGCTATCCACTGGGGGGAGTGTACCACTCCCACAGGTCACGGACCTCCATCACCACACAAGGCTCCAGCAGTGCAGACTAGGGCTGGGCCCCTTGGGATGTTACCAGCAGGCCCTCTTGCTCCTGGGGACAACCTGGCAGGGAGGTGGGTTGAAAGCCAGCAAATTACCAGCTGGCCTGGACCTGGAGGACGAAGGCTAGCTCTGGTGGAAGGGGCAAGGGGCTGATCTCCTGGCCCCCCTCGGCGTGCTCTCTGGTTGTTCTTCAGCCGGGAGAAAGCAGCTGCCTCTGGGTAGGGCTCCGTACTGGGAACACCCTGTTCTCTCCTCTCTACCTTCCAGATCCAGGGCCAATCTTACTTTCTGATGAGCCCCACCCAAGTGATGCCTTTCCTGAATAGCCCCATCCCCAGGGTCCCATGAGCATCTGTTTCCAAAGGTACTTCTCGTGGCATCTGCAGGGTCTTTGTATCTGTACTGCCAGGGCTAACATGTGTGAACCCAATCTGCATGGATCCATGTATCTAGAAATAGGCAATTCTCATGTGGGTTGTGGGGTGGGCAGGTTTCCTTCCTCCACCTCTGCCAAGCTTCGTCTGGACACCCACAGTGGATAGGCTCCACGCACGCAGGGCCCCACCCTCCATACCTGTGCCATCCATCTGGGTGTCACTGGCCTCCGCAGGCCCCCGGCTTTTCCGCTCTGTCTCCTTCACCTCAGGCACATAGAAGTCTCCCTGCCGTGCCAGTGGGCACATGAAATAGATCTGGTCTTGCTGGTAGATCTCCAGCCGAGGGTGGGCACACAGCTTCCGCTCCTTGTCAGAAAGGGGCAGAAGGTGAAATGAACCCTACAGGGCTTCTGACCCACCCACCCCTAAAAGGCCCTAGGAACTATCTATTGTTCACTCCCTCCCAGAGGGCTGGCTCCGCCTCTTGCATCGATCTCCCCCAAGTACCAAACCCCTGCTGAGGGAGGCACACACAGAGCACCCTAAGGGCAGGGCCCCAAACTCCAGGAGGCAATGATCTAAGGACCCAGAAGTCCTTGGGACAACACCCTGGGACAGGTGCTACTAGAATCCAGGGGCCTGGAACTGCCCCCGGCACCACTAAACCAACCTATCCATACCTCTGACCAAAAGGCTGTTCCAGAAAGCACTAGTCTCAAGTAGCCATGATGCTTAGCTTCCGACTATCCCAGGGACAGGGACCCCAGTGACTAAGGCCCCAGGCACCCAAGCCCAGCCAAGCCAAGTTCTGACCTGCTAGACTTCCCATCTCAGCATCCCCTGGCTGTGACCTCCTCTCCACCCTGGACAGTGTTGACTGACCCCGATATCTCAGGAAAGGCCAGGGCCCCTGATCCTTAGGCCTCCGGCCCCTGCCCTCACAGACATATTACTGACGGACCATGGACAGGGGCTCCAGGCCAGTGAAACCCTTCTTTCACTCCCATTCTTTCCTAGTTCAGGTCTAAGCCAACCTCATGGACTATCGCATGTGCTTGGTTCCCTGCCTTCTGGCACCTGCCCAGAGTTTCGGCCAAGGAGGAAGAGGCAGATCCTAGGCTAGAGGGGTAGGCAGGACAAGTAGAACCAGCAGTGGACATTATCCCAACTCCCCAGCTGGCTGAAATACCAGTTTATAGGGCCCCGAGTCCTGAGACAGGCACTCCCCTCTGCCTGGCCACAGCCTGAAGTGTCCCTCTGCCAGTGTGTATGGAATGGCGCACAGACACATGCCAGAGCTGCACCAAGGCAGGCGGGAACAATCAGGACAGGGGTCAAGAGCACGCTGCTCCCCAGCCTGCCCCCCTTTCCTGCAATGGAGTGCAATTATCCACTAGGATGACTATGAGGCCCCTGCCCCGTTGCTGCTCAGCCACCAACCTTCACAACACGACTATTTATAGCACCGGCCTGGCGCTCACCACGAGCTCTGAAATGAGCCTTCCACTTAGCAGTAATGAAAGACTTAGCACCTGGTAGGGAGAAGCCACTCTAGGACTCCACTTGTCCACCTGCCTGGCCAACATTAGAGCTGAGGACCCCTTCCAATTAAAGCAGAGAAGAAGGGTACAAAATGAACCCCTCTGGCAAAGACAAGAAGAAAGGTGAGCCTGATGGTTTATGAGTCAGGGTATTCAGCAGCCACTGGGGGACAGGGTATGTCTAGGAGCCCACAGGGAAGGTGGGTGGCCTGCCCAAAGTCTGGCTGCAGCTCAGCTAGCCAGACCGCATGGGTAACCCAAGCAAGGCCCTGCACCCGAAGTCTCAATGTGCTCAAACACAGAGAGGGACACCCCAACCCTGACATCCCAGGATCAGTGAAGGAAATTCATTTAATACTTTTTTAAAAAAAGATTTTATTTACTTATTTGACAGAGAGATCACAAGTAGTCAGAGAGGTGGTGTTGTGGGGGGGAGCAGGCTCCCCGTTGAGCAGAGAGCCTGATGCAGGGCTCGATCCCAGGACCCTGAGATCATGACCTGAGCCGAAGGCAGAGCCCAACCCATTGAGCCACCCAGGTGCCCCTATTTTTAATACTTTGAGTCCAGTTTTTGTTTTTTTGGGGTTTTTTTGCCAACCTGGGTGTTTTTCATGCCACCTCACAAATCCACATGCCCAGCTCCTCCCATCTCTGCACACACTGACAGCTGTCTCTGCTTCTCCAGCTGCCCACACACTCACCTGGCCCTGGTCCTCGGGAGGCTGAACAAGAACACAATGTCAGGAAGCAGGAGCTACCAGGCTCTGGAGCTTCCCTACTGCCAGCACCTGGGAATGAGCATCTGCCAAACCTGAGCTCCACTCAGTGAACTGAGCCATGTCACCAAGCCCAGGGTCAGGGGGTTCCCGGAAGAAGGTACAGGCCCTTACCCAGTAGCTAGAGGAAAGAAAAATACCCCCAAACCTAATCAGGGCATGGCTTTCACCAACACGCCCATGCCCTCTCTGGGCATTTAACAGTCCAGAGGAAATTTGCTAAGCGGTCATCAAGCTGGTAGCCTGTCTCTCAAGGGCTGTAGATATTTGGCTTTGGGGATGCTCCCAGGAAGCAGAACCTGTGACCACCAAGAAATTCCAGGGATAGTGGAACCCTACCCCAACCCTTATCAACACTCAAGCCACCTCCCTAAAGCTTCCCTTCTGGAAGTAACAGGGATAATAGGATAATGCCCTCTAGGCTGGGCATCAGGGTGGGCAGGACCAGGCAGCCACCCTTACCACCTGCTCTGCCAGCCCCCTCATTGGCAGGCGGGAGGCAGCTCTGTCGCTGCTCTGCACAGCTGCCCCCTCCGGAGAGCCCGGCTCTGAAGTTGCCTGGCTGTGGACAGCCCCGTTGTCATGGAAACTGCATCCTCCATCCTTGCCGTCGCCTTCATCTCAAAGCCATTGGGGAGAACAGAGGAACAGGGGAGACAGAGGAGAGAGAGAAAACTGGCCTGGCTACACAGCCCTTCCTTCCCTGCCTAGCTCTCCCTCCTTGCAGCATCCCACACAGGGAGTGCCAGCTGCCCAAGCCTGCCCCCAGGCCCCTGCAGGAGCAGCCTCCCACCCAAGCCCAGCCTCGTCCTACCCCTACCACCTGGGGGCCCAGGCCCTCCCCAGTGGAGGGAAGCATGGAGCTAATTAAAAATCTCATTGACAGCTTAGCCTCGAATCATTTTAACACATGCCGGGTCCTGTCAAAATTCAGACTCAGGGGCAAAGGAGAGGAGCAGGAAGAAGGCAGAGGTGCAAACCTCCAACTTAGGCCCCTAGGCAAGAAAGGGGTTTATAGCTGTCTGTGCGGCCTCTCCTCAAGATCGCCCCCCCCATCCCTGTTCTGCCCTAGAGCAATAATGAGCCCACCTGGGACTGGGGCAGGGGAGGAGGGACAGGACTAGCCATAAGCCCTGTCCCTAAGTGACAAGGCATAGGACAAGACCTTTCCCTCCCAGCCAGGTACAGACTCTAAGGGAAGAGAGGGTAACCATGGACCAGCTCTCAGGTCCTCGGTACACAGCAGGAGCTGTGACCTGTGCCTCATGTCGATGAGCTGATAAATATTGGAAAATCATTGGAGGAAGGCAAGACCAGCTGCTTCTCCCTCAGCTAGCCCCAGGGAGCCCTTGGAGAACAGACTGCCAAGGGCCAAGGACACCAAGTCAATGCAACGCTGGGCTGGTACTGCTGGGGAAAGGGGTGTGGATGGGCCTGGCATCCTTCCAGCCCTGGGGATACCCCCTCCCACAGCCCAGACAGCCAGACACTCCAGGAAGCATCACCAGGATAGGGGAACCTGCTCTGGCCACTGAAGCTACTGGCCATCTAATGAAGCCACAACCCACAGCAACTCACTCTTGCACAGAATCAAGGGGACCACAAGGTCTCTCTCCAAGGAAGGAGAGATGCAGACATCCACAATGCTCCCCACCTAACAGGAAGAAGTCACCGTGCTACGGTGCCAGCAGCGACTGCTAGAAGAGGGATTCAGGAGCTCTAATCCCTCAGACACATCTCCAAAACTTGCTCTCCACAGCAGAAACAAGATGGGGACTCGGAACACCACCCACAATGCAGGGATTTCCAGGGGACCTCAGTCTGCAGCACCTTCCCCAATACCCCTGCTGCACTGACAGGGGCTTACCCCTCCACGGCCAGGGGTGCCAGCAGACAAGGGAATGAGCGGCACACACAGGCCGCCGTGGTGCCGCTGCCTCAGCTATCTGGGGAACACACCACACATTCTGTTCGCATCTCAGGCTGGACTCATTCCTGGGTGGGGGGCACAGATTTGGCCCACACAGCTCAGAGCTCCTGCAGAGGCTCAGATGGCTAAGGTTTCCCCACAACACCCACAGTGCTGCCCCGGGGAGTTCATACTACATCAGGGGAAGGGAGGAGGGGGGAGAGAGAAGACCTGAACTACTATCTTTTGGGAACAAAGCAACCCACGCCCTGGCTTTGGCGAAGGGTGGGGAGGGGGTGTGGAGCAGAAAAGGTCAGGTCCAGGTGAAGACCATTCCCAGGCTGCCCAGAGGCTGGGTCTGCTCAGAGCCAGGTGGCCTCCAATCCCCAAAAGGATGAGGCAATGGGAACAGGCCAAGGACTGGGTCATACATCCCCCAACTCCACTTGAGCCCCCGAAAAAGAGGAGTTCTTCTCTGTCATCTCTACGTAATCACAGCCCCTTAACCTCCTGCCTCCTGGCGTGAGAGGCCCTGGGCCTCCCTGCTCACCCTGGGCTGCCCGGTCCTAGCCATCCCTCCACTGCAGGCTGGACAGCTGGGCTGCCACACAGCCCGCAAACAGCTGTTGCATCCCACCCGAGGTGGTGGCGTGTCCTCACTGGGTGAAGCGAGGCGTGCTCATTTTTAATTACACAGACACCAACGTGCACCCACCCGCACACAGCGCTCCCTGCAAGTGGGGGCTCAGACCCTGGAGGCCCCTCAGGCAACTGGTCTGCATCGCACGTGCAAAGTGATGGGGGAGGCACAGCAGGCGCCACTGCAGCTAGGATGTGGCACACTGTTATTATTCTGCCCAGGAACTTCCGTCAACTTCCCTCTCCCTGGCTGCCTCTCATCCCACTGGGCCTCCAGACAGCCTCTGGCCCAGAACCTAAACCTGTCTGTGGGGTGGGAGGTGACAGCAGGAGACGGCTCTGGGGGCCTTGCCGTGCCAGCAGGGAGAGCCTGCAGAAGGGCTGGTGAGCACCCTCCCCCTGGTAGGAGGGCCCGGAGCTATGAAAATGATGGGCAAAGGAGACAAGGAGAGAGATGGGGCTGCCGCAGAGGGAAGTGAGGGAGCAGAAGTGGCAGAGAGA